GAGGGAGAATGAATGAGCAGAGGAAGAAGAAGGCGTGGGTGAAAAGGGGAAATCCTTATCTCCTTATAAAGGCAGCAGGGATCATGCACCTCCCCACTTGCCCTGGAAACTCGCTTATTCCCCCAAGCGCCATGTTAATGGCGCGGTTGGGTTACCCACACCCGTATTGATGAGAATCCCGTGATAAGGGGACACGATATCTTCTTCGACAAGATGTGCCAATAAAACCACCTCGCAAGATGCGCAGTAGCAGGTTGAGAAAACGGTTTGAATAATGACCGGGCTGAGGCGTGATGCCATGCCAAGAAAAAGTTGTCAGCAGATTAGACCCATGGAATATTGTGCTGTCTACGGTGGTATGTGGAATTTGTTTTGCAGAGCTGGACACGATTCTTGTGTTCAAGATCTTCTTTGGAGTATTCGGAGAAGGAACCCGCCTTGCAATGCCGAAGACAATCTGCGCGCCGGACTCATCGTCATTGAAGCCTGGTTCAAGGGCTACTGAAGGAGTCTTGGATTAGGGGGTCCTCGGACAGCCGGACTATATGCTTATGCCGGACTGTTGGACTATGAAGGTACGAGATTGAAGACTTCGTCCCGTGTCCGGGTGGGACTCTCCTTTGCTTGGAAGGCAAGCTTGGCAATTCGGATATGTAGATTTCCTTCTCTGTAACCGACTCTGTGTAACCCTAGCCCCCTCCGGTGTCTATATAAATTGGAGGGTTTAGTCCGTAGGATAATAACAATCATAATCATAGGCTAGCTTTTAGGGTTTAGCCTCTACGATCTCGTGGTAGATCAACTCTTATAATACTCATATCATCAAGATCAATTAAGCAGGAAGTAGGGTATTACCTCCATAGAGATGGCCCGAACCTGGGTAAACATTCTGTCCCCCGCCTCCTGCTACCATTAGCCTTAGACGCACAGTTCGTGACCCCTACCCGAGATCCACCGGTTTGACACCGACAGCGGGCAGGTGGCCTAGGCCGTGGAGCTCCTTGCGGCAGAGGTGGTTCAGCTATGGGCGGCGGTCCGGTCCCCCGACCTGCCATGCTACCCGCTCCGGGCGTTGACCCTTGCACGACGGAGGAACGCGAGACGCACGTACAGACCCTAGCCTAGGGAAACCTGGCGTAGCGATCCTGGAACAACGCAGTACGCGACCCGAATCCGCTGGTGATCCCGATTCACGCAACGCGTGTGCCGCACGACCCCCGTCGGTGCCTTGGGTCGCTTCCTGGCCCACTTGCCCATGTACTGTTGCGCCCAAGCCCACACGCTCCACATCAGGCCCACCTTGGCCCAACAAATATTTCAAACGAGCCGTTCTGGCTGCCTGGATCTCACCGAGATCCACGACCGGCACCGGCGCCGCCATCGGCCGGATCTTCTTCCGGCGACCTTTAACGACCTTCCAAGAGCCCAAAAAATCGCCAAGGGTAAGAGATGGGAGACGTACCTTAGGTAGAGGCCCCTTCCAAGGACGAATCGCCGACGGAGCCGTCTGACGATGCACAACTCGTCGGAGAACCTCGACGACTTCCGCCTTGCCCAGTCCATCACAGGCTCGATTATTCACCGGAACGATCCCCTCAACGAGTCCGGCCACCTCCTCCTCGGAGTAGCCAATCCGTAATGCCTCGCAGATATGATCACTGGGCGTTGGGGAATACTCCCCCGCCCCGGAGCTGTCTCCGTCCCGGATCTCCTCCTCGTCGGAGTCATCGGAGTCCGAGCCGGCGAGGGCCCAGAACCGACTGCCACAACGCTGAGAGGACGAGGCCGCCCGGGGCGCCGCCACGCCATGCTCCCCACGGTTGTCCCCGCGGCCGCCTTTGCGATCGCCTTCGCGGTCGCCCCTCATCACTGATAAGTTTACATGTTCTGTGTTTAAAAAGATATATGTGTGGTCACAGCAGCTTTGAACAAACAGGTGCCACTCGACAACCTGAAAATTGTTTCGGTTACTAGTAAAGTTACAGATACAAAAGAGGAGCAAACACGCATCTGGTACTGCAACAGACCACCAAACACTGATGAAAGTTGCATGTATTGGCACTTCAATCTATCACTTGAGAAGCCCATGTGGAGTGTGCATAGAGCACCCGGCCTTTCCATCCTTGCAGAAGCCAGCGGTGATCCTCGCTGATCATGAAATGCTTGTGGTACCGACTCTTCACTTGGTCCTTGAGGATCAGAACAACATCAGGGTCCAAGGGCAGCTGCCTTAGCCCCGCTCGCTCGTTCCGCGCCTGCCACTCCTTGTAGTTCTGAGGGCGCTCCACCCGGTCTGCGCCTTCACAGGCGATCATGTTAATGGCGGAGCGTGCAAAGATGTCCCGCTCCACCAGAAGTCTCTGGTCGTTGTCCCGTGGAACGGTGTTCTCCATCACATCGAACAAGGCCGTGAAGTAGTACAAGGCATGGCGGAACCGCGTCATGAAGAAAGCCGCGCTGTATGGTCCATTGACGAGGGACTGAACGAACACACCCGGCCTCATCTTGCTGATATTGTTGAGCACCATGTCCCTCAGGCTCACCATGTCAAAGGTTAGGCTCTCGTCCATCAAGGTCCTGAACTCGTACAGGCTGTTCACGACCAGCACCTCGTCTGGGTCGATGTGCAGGTCCTCAGCCCGGACATCCTCCAGCTTGGATGCGATGGCGCGGAACTCGAATGGCACGCCGAACTGCCTAGCACAGTTGCTGAGCCGGTCCCCCGCCTCCTCCATTATTTGAGCCGGACGGAGCCCGGGGCGAGGGGTGTTAATGCCGGTGATCCTCACTTGCGGTGGCCCGCCCTCCCTGTTGGCCAGCAACCGGAGCAAGTCCGGCCACTGGAATCCGGTGGTGATGCCGTAGTGCACAATGTGCAGTTTCCTCCTCCCTGCAACGGCCTTGCAGATGGTGTTGATGGCAAAGAGCAAACCAACCTTGATCGAGCAGCAGGCAGCCATGTGCAGATGGTAGGCCTTGATGAGCTCAACGGTTAAGGTGTGCTTCCCCATGAGCGCTCGGTACAGCCGGCTCCCCGTGCCAGCCAGCCGTGCCTCCAGCCCCTGGGCGAAGTAGTGCGCCAGCCGCTGCTTGGCGTCCCCCGTCGGCGAGGAGTGCCACTTGATCCGCTCCAGCAGCTTGCTGGCGCCGCGCACGTCGTTGCTGGACACTGCTTCAGCGCAGCGGATCAGCAGGGTCTCTAGGTCAGTCACCACCGTGTGCCTCGCCCCGCGCCTCCCGCGCCTGCCAACTGCTGCCTTGTTCTCCTTGTCCTCCAAGGTGACGCGTACCACCTCCTGCATCTCGCCCGGGTGCGCATCGTAGCCGTTGAGGACCAGCCGGTCCAGCATCTCCAGCGCGGTGGTCTCCTCCTCCTCCTCCGAGACACTACGCGGCAGCGCCGTTATTTGCTTGCTGCTCCTGCCCAAGCCCGCCTCCGTCTCGGCATCCATGCCAGACCACCTCTTCTTGCGCCCCCTGCCAGCCACCATCACATTGTCTGCGGGCAAGAACCTGTTGGCTTCCTCCATGCCTTTGAAGAAAGCCATGCTCGACAGCATGTCCGTTCTGGTGCTGCTCTCGCTGGGAATGGGAAACACCAAACCACTGGGCTCCACAGTGCCTGTGCCTGTGCCTGTGCCGTTCAAGAAGAAGGCTGGATACTGTACTTGGCACCCGGAAACTATGAAGTCCGTGCCGTTACCTTGGCTGGGCATCAAGATGGAGGTGGAGGAGGCAAAGGACTCGTGGGCGTCGGATGAGGTGTCGGCAAGGATCTCGGCGAAGGGCTGCTCGGCCTGCAGGAGCTCCGGGTGGTCAGGGTACTGGTAGAAGAACTTGTCGACGATGTCCTCCTCAGTGAGCATGCGCGAAATGTACTCCAGGGCCAGGTCGTTCTGCGGCTGCTGTGAGTCACCATGGGTCGTCGGGGACGGAGGAAGATCGAGGAAGACGGATGGGGACAGTGGTGCAGGCTCAGCGAGGCCCAACAACAACTCCTCCGGTGTGGCAGCCATAGTGGAGTGCATGCTGATCTCTGATGATGCAGTGAAACTATATTGGATTTGGAGTGGATATATCACTGTCATCCATCCATTTCATGTGAAGCCAACAAGCACCTCGGACATCGTACAGTTCGTTGCTGTCTATTGGAACCATCGTAGCTTCACATTTCACAAGGTTAGTTTAACTGTCCACCGGCCGACCTGCGCCTGCACACATGGACAAAGAGAGGCTTTTGAGAAAGATTATATCCATCTTGTTGTCGCAGACAGCATTCTGTCCTTGTCTGATCAGAACTTCAGAAGCAGTCAACTTTCTTGTAGACATCAATATATGTTTTAAAATGTCAGGCTGTTGTGAGTTCGACATGTAGTAGCACTAGCAGGTAAAATAATTGAAAGTTCTCTAGTATTATCCTGAAAATTGATTAGCTCACATGTAGTAGCCAGTTTCTAGATGCATGTAACCTTTAACCATGTACAGTTATGTTTCTTTCCTGCTCCACACTTGGACACCTGCAAGTAGGCAAACGGATTTGTAAGATGAAAACGCAGAGAAAGAAATTACAAATTCAAGACATTTGAGTTATCCTTTTTCTTTGAACAATTTCCAGTAATCCTTTTACACATGACACTGAATTTATTGGTCCTCTTATACAAGACTACAGATTATATATCTTCTTCTTCGGGTATCATGTCTTAATGAGATAACTGAAGAAGAAGAATGAGTGGAAGCACATAAACATCTGCTGCTGCAACAGCAATTGACCTTTACATTAAGTCTTTACTCATCAAACTGAAACTTAATGTCTAAAAAAAATGTAACTTTAAGGCAGCTTACAGGAGACATTTAGCATGCGGCAAGTGGCACCCTGGTGTTATTCATATTCGTGTCTAAGAGCGAAATTTAAGATGTTTGAAGGAAACAGGAGGGGATGCCTCAGCTGTATCGTATACAAATCTCCATAACATTAACCTTTCCTATGCAGAAAAAGGCAGCTAATACTCCGAGCTAGTGTCGTCTGCCACCCACGCCGAGTGAGCATATAGGATGCGGCCCTTCCACCCCTGCAGCAACCACCCCTGATCCACATCCACAACAAACTCCTTGTGGTACAGGCTCTTGACCTTGCCTGTTGCCACCTTAGTGATAATCGGCTTCAGTGGCAGCTGTCTGAGGCCTGCACGTTGGTTTCTCAGCTGCCACTGTTTGTATGTCTCAGGACGCTCTACCCGGTCTGCACTCTCGCAGGCGATAGTATTCAGAGCACACTGCCCGAACATGTCCCGCTCGAGAACGAAGCGCTGGTAGCTATCTGGTGGTGTGGTGGCATCAAGCATGTCGAACACCGATGAGTAAAAGAAGAGCGCCTCCCGGAACCGCGCCAAGAAAAATGGGCCGCTCGAACCGTTCACAACACCTTGGATGAACACAACTGGCTGCATCTCCCGGATGTTGCTGAGGACCACATCCCTGGGGCTGGGTCTGTCGATAACAAGGCTCTCGTCCATCAAGGTGTTGAAATTGAACAAGTCATTCACCACAAGCACCTCGTCAGGGTCGATGTTGAGGTCCTCGGCACGGATAGTCTCCCACTTAGCCGCGATGCCACGGAACTTGAACGGCAAGCCAAACTGACGGGCACAGTTGCTGAGTGCCCGCCCTGTCTCCTCAAGCCTCTTAGCTGGGCGGAACCCAGGCTGCGGGAGGTCAATCCCGGTGATCCTCACTTCCAGTGGCCCGCCGTCCCTAGTCGCCAGCCAAGCCAGCAGGCCCGGCCACTGGCACCCATAATGCAAGCCATAATCCACAATGTGCAACTTGCTCTTCCCTTCCACGGCATCGAAGATGGTCATGCTGGAGAATGTGAACGCCACCCTTTTGAAGGAGCAGGCTGCCATGAACAGCTCATAACCTTTGAGGAACTCCATGGTCGAGGTGTGCTTCGCCATGAGTGACTTGTACACCTGGCTCCCAGTGCCCGCCAGCCGGGCCTCAAGCCCCTTGGCGAAACAATGCGCCAGCCGCTGAGCGGCATCTCCTGTTGCGGAAGCATGCTGCCTGATCTGTTTCAGCAGATTGCCCGCACCATGACGGTTGCCGGTGGCCACCTCCTGTGCGCAGCATAGCAGCAGCCCGCGCAGGTCCACCGCCTCTTTCTTTCCCTGCTTTCCCCGCACCGCCTTCTTATTTTTTCTATCAGCTCTGATGTTCTCCATGGTGATTTGCAGCTCCTCCATGGTCTCCCCGCATAGTTCGTAACTATTCAGCATTATTTTGTTGATCATCTCGCGGGCGCCATCCTCTTCCAGCTCCGGCATCAGCAGTTTGCTGGCCCTGCCCACCACTTCCTCCGGCTTGTCCGCATCACGCCGAGCCTTCCGTCCCCCAAAAATCTCTTTTGCTTGGTTGATGCTGAAGACATCAGCCTGCGGTTGGTTGTCTCTAGGCAAGAACTTGTTGGCCTCCTCCATGCCTTTCAAGAATGCAAAGTTAAGCATGTCTCTATTGGAGGGGTTGAGTTTGCTCTGATCACCATTATTGTCCACCTCAGCACCATCCGAGAACGTCCAACTCGGGACGTCCTTGTCAGCCAAGCACATGCTGCCTCCACGAATACCCTGCAAAGACTCATCGGAATGCATCTTCTCCATGTCGCCGCCTTCACCGGACAGTAAGTTCTTGGCATCATCAAGAATTTGGGTAAATTGCTGCTGCGCCTGGAGGAAGGCAAGATGGTCTGGGTACTGGTAGAAGAACCTGTCGTCGATGTCCTCCTCCATCAGAATGCGAGTGATGTATGGGAGCACCAGGTCCCCGACAGTGCCGCCATAGGGCGACGGAGGAATGTCGAGGTAGACGGATGGGGATTGCGGCGGGGGCTCCATGTGTTCCTTCAGCCCCAGCAACTCCTCGGGGTGATGGATATGTTGGTGAACTGAACTGGTGATGGTGCTGCGCTCCACAAGGATATGGCTGGTTGCTCTTGTACAGAGAAAGGGATCGGTTCTTCCCATGCCTGGAGACTTGGAATCAACGACATCCTCCAAATGGACATGGCTTATGGCTCTTAAAAAAAGAATTGTCCTATAGTATATATCAGGACATGGCTGATCCTCCTGTTTGTCCGCATCACACAATAGTATGATTGTCCTAGAATATATTTCTATAGGTTGATTATTTTTCTCGAACACACCTGGTAGCATGTCCTTTTCATTATGAAAGCGCCAAGATAGCAGGAACAACCAAAATTTACAAATATTTACAAAAATTAAGGAAAAACAACAGTCCTTACTGAACGACTAAACAAAGTTTAGCATTGTAATACTATAAATTTAGCAACCACAAGGGAGAAGTATACTGTTACATGCGAACTTGCATTTTTTTCAGTATTAAAACACATAATTGCAGTTTTTAGCATGCTTTCATCTCTCATGAGCCAGTATTTTGTTTAATCTGTAATCACTAATTCACTATTAGATTGAAGAAGTCATTCGGTACCTTCAGGCCTGCAGTTTATCCCATTCACTGCACACAGGCCCAGTAGCACTATAAATCTGCTAGTAAACATAACGCTCAATCAATGAACATGTGACCTGAAATATTAAAGCATAGAGAGAATAGCAATTCCAGGCAAGCAATACGAATATAACACACAATGGGCACAGGTTCGTGTTAGTTAGAAGAGTTTCAGAGGCAACGAAATTGGTTACCATATTTGCTATCGGTAAAAAATATGGCCCATGCAATGCAATTGGCATGTGACATACCCCAGCCAGAAGCAAAAGGAATTACAATATGCTAAGTAAAGAGATACATTTACTTAGAGCATCTCTAACAGCCGTGCTAAAGCGCCGCGCGCAAAAAATCTGTTAGCGCGCGCGCTTCGGCTGGTTTTGCGCGCTCGCCTGCGCTGGCTCCAGCAGCCACGCTGAAATGCAGCGCGCTAGCGCCGCTCCAGCAGCGCGCTAAAATGCAGCGCGCGCGACTAGAAGTGTATGCATTTTTAAAAGTTGAAATTTTTAAAAAAAACTTGATAGATTGCATAGATTAAACAATACAAAGGTATTTTACATCCGAAACATAGATTGCATAAAATAAAAACGACAAACGATAAACATAGATTGTATTAACAAAAAAAAACTACTCTAAGTCGCCATCATCATCACCACTATCATCCTCGGCGGTGTCGTCCGAGGTAGATAGCCAGATGTCCAGCCACCGCTCATCGTTCAGCGTGAAGAACGACCGCCCACCTGCTGCAACGAGGTCGGACTGCGCATTCGCCAACCCCTTCCGCCGACGCTTGTCCAACCGCGACGCGCGGCGCCTTTGCGTGTCCTCCTCGGGGCGCCTTGCCCAGTAGGCTTGCTCGTAGGCAACGTCCTCCGGGTGGCGCTGGCGCCTGTCCGCCATGACCCTCTCGTCCTCCTGGGCGACGAGGAGGCGGCGTTGCCGCTCGGCGTGCTCCGCACGGTCTTCCACCGTGTTCAGACGAGGCAGAGGGGCGAGGTTGAGCGCTTGCTCGAGCGTGTACACATCTTGGAAGTTCATCTGGCCGCGCGGCCGGCCTAGGCGCCACACCGCCGCGTCGTACGCGCGGGCGGCCTGTCGCGCCGTCCCGTACGTGCTGAGGGTGAGCCGGAGTTCGCCGGAGCGTATCTCCGCGGTGTAGCTGCCGTTGGGCCGCAGGCGAACGCCGCGGTAGCCGGACGCTCCTCGGCGGCGCGGCGGCATGGCGGCGCGTCGGTGGCGGGACGCTGGAGCGGCGCGTGGCAGAGAGGGAGAGGGAGAGGGGAAGAGATGTGTGTGGAGAAGGCGCGTGGCGCGCGCAGCTTTTATAGGCGCGCGCAAACGATTTCCGCGCGCGCTTGTTTCCCGCGGCCGCTGGAGCGCGGCAAACCGCCCCGCGCGCGCTAAAAGCTGCGTTTACCGCGCGCGTCGTTTGGGGCGACTGTTGGAGATGCTCTTAGAAAGTTAGAGATGAGTTTGTTAGGAAAGATGATATCCTATTTTTGGTGGTCGGGACGAGTCTTCCATATAAAAGGAATGTCATGTACTCTGCTAAAAATAAGCAATGAAATAATCAAAAGTTCTCCAAGCCCCTCTTCCACGTCTGGGACAAGCCCTGCAGAGAGGTTGTTGAGGGACATCCCCGGTCCACGGACCTTTACCCTGCCCATATTATCCTGTTGTGAATCAAGGTCCATAAAATGCTGGTCTTCATTATCCATGACAAAAGTTGTAATGCACTGCGACTAAGACATCCAATTTACACATACATGAGGATGATATCATATCATCGTTGGTCTTCTAGTGTTTACTTCCAATCTCGGACCTTCATCTTCCTTACCAGCGTCACACAAATCCATCAGGCCATGACAAAGAGATCAGATGGTTCATATGAACACCAAAGCTCAACACCAAATTCTGGAGACTGAACAGCCACTGTAGTGGCCAGCTGCATCAAACAATAAAACGAGTATGCGACTAGTTCAAATTTACTGGATCATGTATAGTAGGCTAGTAGCCATCACCCAGACAACGCACAACCCTAAATATATATTTACCTTATACAGTTGGATACAAGAAAAGAGAAAAGAAAATGCAGACATTATCTGAAATACTTCAAGCAGTCCGATAGATATCGGACGAGTCAAAATGCATCTTTCAGCTTGAGAGCATAAACCACACCACAAACAGTACAGTATTAATACCATATCTGCTTATGTTCAAGTGCAGGAAGGAGAAAATTGGTTAACAGTGGGAGCTAGCACCGTCTGCCTCCCATGTTGAGTGAGCCAAGAGGATGCGGCCCTTCCACCCTTGCAGCAGCCAGTGATGGTCCTCGTCGATGAGGAAGTCCTTGTGGTATTTGTTCTTTACCATGTCCCTAGCCATCTTAACAGTTTCTCTGTCCAGTGGCAGCTGCCTCAGGCCTGCACGTTGGTTTCTGACTTGCCAATGCTTATAGGTCTCACAACGCTCCACCCGGTCCTTTCCCTCATATGCAATGGCATTCAGGACAACCCACCCAAAGATGTTGCGCTCCAGCGCCAGCCGCAGTTTGTTCTCCCTTGGCATGGTTGCATCAAGCATGTCAAACAGTGCAGAGTAAAAGAAGAGGGCCTCGCGGAACCGTGACAAGAAGAAGGTGCCATAGGAGCCATTCACGGTGCTTTGGACAAACACGTCCGGTTTCATCTTGCTGATGTTGCCGAGGACAGTATCCCTGGGGTTCGGGCTGCCTATGACGACACTCTCATCCATTAAGGTCCTGAAATTGTACAGGTCATTCACAGCAAGCACCTCATCAGGTTCCAGGTCCAGGTCCAGGTCCTCGATGGAAACGGTCTGCCACTGCGCCAAGATGGCACGGTACTTGAACGACACACCAAGGTCCCGGGCAATGTCAGTCAGCCGAGAATCGATCTCCTTCATATGTTTTTCTGGGTGGAATCCGGGCTGTGGGAGGTCAATGTGCGTGATCCTGACCTCTGGTGGGCCACCATCCCTTGCTGCCAGCCAGCGCAGCAGTTCTGACCACTGGAATCCATAACGAAAGCCATAATCAACAATGTGCAACCTGCTCCTCCCCACTGCCGCATTGAAGATGGCCCTGTTGGCGAACAAGAAGGATACATTCCTGAAGCAGCATGCTGAAATGAATTCTTGGTAAGCCTCTGAGTGTGCCACAGCAGAGGTGCCCTTAGCCGTAAGCGTCCCATACACTTGGCTGCCTGTGCCAGTGAGCCGTGCCTCCAGCCCCTCAGCGAACCAGTAGGCAAGCCGCTGTGTTGCGTCACCAGTGGGTGAGGCATGCTGCTGGATCTCCTTGAGCAACTCACCTGCCCTCCGGCGGTCATCCATCACCGCCTTGGCACAGTGGATCAGCAGCGTGTGCAGGTCAATCACCCGTGCCTTGCTCTTTCTCCCCTTCTTGTTACTGTTCCCAGTCTCATTGTCCATGGAACTGCACATTTGATTGAAGTCGAACACCTCGCAGGCACCAGCTTCGACCAATCTGTCCGTCCTACTGACATCAGCCTCCACCTCGTTGCTCCAGTCCTTGCGGCCCCTGCTGCTTTTCTCCTTCGGTTGGTCCTGCTCACCGGTGGTCGTCAGCTCACTGTTTGTGGGCAAGAACTTCTTCGCCTCTTCCATGCCCTTGAGGAAAGCAGTGCTAAAGATGTCAGTGCTGAACTCTCCATTGGCGAGCAACAGCAAGCTGCGGACCTCATCAACACCCTTGAACTTCAAGATGCCTGAGCTGAGAGAGTGCATGTCGCTGGCCAAGGCGCCACCTTGGTCTGCCGTTAAGGTGGAGGCATGCATGCTGGAAGATAGGATTTGGGCAAAGGGTCGCTGGGCTTTGAGGAGTGCAGGGTTGTCTTCGTCAATGTCATCGTCCTCCTCCATGAGGATACGCGCGATATTGGGGAGCGCCAGGTGATCCTGCATGGCAGAGCGGTTCCTGTCGTGGTGTGCCACTAAAGGAAGGTCGGGGAAGATATGAGGGACAGCCATGGTGATGACGATGGACAATGGGAATGCGCTTCCTCTAATGAATGGAATGGAATCATGGTAGGTATGATGTTGCTCTGCTAAACTTCTCTCCTTGGTATCACCGAATTGTCTCCAACAATAAAGGACAAATAGATGTTTTCTTAATCATATAGGGACGATGTGACCTTCTTGTTCCATTTGCTAGTACAAGGACATTATATGTCAAAAAAATGGCATTTAAAAGAATTCTGGGAAAGATCACAACTGGACATGTTTGCGCACTATGGCACTTGAAAACCTTTATGTAGTACAGAAGTGATACAATGATGAAGGGCCAACATAGCAGCTTTATTTGCATGAAAATTGCTTTGAAGTGCACTTAGTACTCAAACATGGATGTGTGTTCAACTGGGGAAGTATGAGGACTGAACCTAAAAGTGGTTAACAAATGGAGGATTTGTTACCTTTATCCGTTATATGCAGCATGTACACCATGCTTGATCTACACTAGGAACGACGGCATCTAAACTCAAACCGCCCCAGATCTTCTATCTTTGACAGCTAAGCCCTCCAACCAATCCTGAATGTAGTAGTCATTTGGTATCTCCAGACCTGATCCGCCTATCGCCTGCACTGCATACACCCTCAGTACCATTAGCACTTTAAACCTGCAAGTAAACATGACGCCCATGCTATGAACGCGTCATCTAAAACTTTAAAACATACCGAAAAAGGCTTTCGCCCCGCTTTATATTATAAAGCAACTGCCCAAGCCAACAATCCACAAGGATTCACACGCACGCAAACACACACCAAGTACACACAAACACACGATCCAAAGAGGGTTAATGTTAAGGGCACAACTTAACAAGCCCTAGAACAGAAAAGACGACATCAACTAGTCAGGCTCCGAGGGGGCGGCGGAAGCGGTGGCGCCAAGCGGAAGGCGAGCGATCGAACGTCGGCGAGGAGGGTGCTGATGACGTCCCGATCCTGAGGGCGGCTAAGCGGCCGCCAAAGCTGCAGGTACCCACACATTTTAAAAATGGCGTCAGTAGCACGTCGTAGAGGGACCTTTTGGATGACAAGCTTATTGCGGACGGTCCATAGCGTCCAGGCGAGGACCCCAACGCAGAGCCAACGAATATGGCGGTAGCGAGGGGGGGAGGCATGGATTTCCGCGAGAAGGTCGGGGAAGTTGGAGTTGCACCACTGTCCACCAACCGTCTCGCGGAAACTGGACCAAAGAAACTGGGTCGTGTGGCACGTGAAGAAGATGTGGTTAGCATCCTCCACCGTGCCGCATAGAGGGCAAATGTCAGACCCCGACTCAATGCCACATCGATCTAGCATGTAACACCTCATATCACTTTGCGGCCTCACGCACGGTACTCCCACGGGTGGCGCCTTACCTTTGTCCAGGACCGTTTGCGCCTTTTGGCACACGTATATGATAGTGTCACTAGCATCCATATGATAAGGAGCCCGGACTGACATGGCTAGTCGTAAACCCAAAGTGGCACAAACTTACAGGGACAGGCATCCATGACCCAGCATCGAACGTGTCGGTCATCGGCGAGTGAATCCAGGCTGTAGCACTGGGCTAACAGGACTCCGGTGAACCGGGCTGTAGCGGGCTAACAGGACTCCGGTATTCATCACATGACATTTCCCCGAAGGGACAGACACAGGAACGAAGAAGGACACATGCCGGCCAGCCTAAGTGTTCCGGAGCAGTAGCAAGCTACCATGGCTCAGTGGAAGCACTAGGAGACATTTCCCGGTAAGAGAGGCTACTAAGGATAAACAACTAGATAGTCAGATCCCACACATACCAAGCATTTCAATAACATACACACAATATGCTCGATATGTGCAAATACAACATGGCATCACAACATGACTCTACAACTCGAGTATTTATTCAATAGGCTTCGAGGAGCGAGATATTACAAGCATGAGTCTCATGACTCAACATTCAGAGCAAACAAGTCAAGCACAAACGGAAGTTTAACATGTCTGAGTACAGACATCTACAAAAGAAAAAGGCTGAGAAGCCTGACTGTCTATCAGATCCTGCCGAGGGCACAAGATCGTAGCTGAGGTAACAAGCTAAACGTCGAAGTCCACGCGGAACTACTAGTGAGACGGAGGTCTTTGCAAAAACGTAAAATAGGCAAACGTGAGTACAAATGTACCCAGCAAGACTTACATCAGAATTAACTACATATGCATCATTATCAACAAAGGGGGTGGTGGGGTTTAACTGCAGCAAGCCAGCTTTGACTCAGTGGCTATCCTGAACTACGACTACAAGTAACTCTTTTGAGGTGGCGCACACGAGTCCACATATTCACCATATCAATACACCACTATGGATCCGATCCCGTCTCCCTACGAGTACGCCATCCATAGCACTCACGCTTATCTTGCGTATTTAGAGTATCCACTTTCACTTGTCTATGAACTGTACAGGCAACCCAGAAGTCCATTACCGCGGACACGGCTATTCAAATAGATCATATTAACCTTGCAGGGGTGTACTTCTTCACACACGCTCTCACCACTTACCGCCGTTTACACGACATGTACTCGGCAACCTTCAAGCGGAAGCCCAGCGAGGGTGTCGGCCACGACCTGACTAACCACACAAGTCTCTCGTCCAGGTTTATCGCCTATTCGGGTTCCATCCGCAAGGAGATCCGGCCGGGGTGTCGCTCACGGCCCCAAACAATGTGTGCAGCGTTCCCAAGCCCACCTCGACGGGTGGATCTACGCTTGGTACACCGTGCCACGGTGCCTAGTCTGTCCCAAGCCCACCTGTACCGGGTGCCACTTGGTAGACTACTAACACTACCTACAAACACCAGAAACTTGTTGCAACTCCTGGACAGAGATTAAGTTGATTAATAAGTCGAGAGAGCTTGGAGTGCCCGGAGCCCAATGTGTGGTAGTAACTGTTCATGGATCACAAACACAGAACTCAGTTCCTAAGGACGGCTTCAATGAGACAACCCACCATGTACTCCTACATGGCCTCTCACCGCTACCTTTACCAAATCGTGTTCACACACTTAGCTCACACACAGTAGGACATGTTCACACACCTCCAATTCATCCCCGATGAATCAGACCTGACTCAACTCTAAGCAGTAGCAGGCATGATAAACAAGCATGAATGAGTAGGCACATCAGGGCTCAAACAACTCCTACTCATGCTAGTGGGTTTTATCTATTTACTGTGGCAATGACAGGTCATGCAGAGGATAAAGGGGTTCAGCTACCGCAACATGTAACAGTTGAATCGTTGTTGTCCTAATGCAGTAAAAGAGAGCAGGAGCGAGAGAGTGGGATTGTATCGGAATGAACAAGGGGGTTTTGCTTGCCTGGCACTTCTGAAGATAGTATATTTCATCATTGGTGTCATCGATCACATCGTCGGTACACGTCTTATTGAGAGGGGACAAGCACCGACAAACAAAGAAGAAGCACAATCAATGCAATGCACAATATGATGCATGATCATGACATGGCAATATGCTGTGGTTTGAGCTAATACAACTAGCAGCAGGTTAAATGAAGTTGGTTTGAACCCTAGGTTCAAATTCAAACTCCACATAAGGCATTTCAAATGCCATTTATTCAAATTGTTGTATACAGCAGATTTAAGTTGTTCAAACATGCATGAAGATGGTACAGATGGATACATTGGATTTTTCTGATCATTTTTCATATATAAATTATTTCATTCTGAGTTACGGTTAAATTTCTATGAATTTTAGAAGTTTAGATCATTTTTTGAAATTTATAAATCATTTCTGATTTATTTTAATTCCAGAAAATGTTTACTGCGTCAGCATTAGATCATGCTGACCTCAGCAGGTCAACAGGCGCGGCCAGGTCAAACCTGACCAGTGGGGCCCACTGGTCAGTGACTCAGTTGGTTAACTGAGTTGATTAGGGTTAAACTAATACTAACGAAAATGTCAGCAGGGCTGGGCCCACATGTCAGTGGCTCAGGATTAGTTTAGCGAGGGGATTAGCACCTAAAAGTGGTGATTAGCACTAACTAACATCTAACTAATCCAGCTAGTGCTGGCCCCACATGTCATTGAGCCAGGTGGGGCCCGACCGGGGTCAAAGTGGGTCAAACCCAGGCCGGCGGGGTCAAACCCACCGGCGACTCAACGCCGGCGAGGCCCGAGACGGCGGCGCGGCTCGGAGAACGCCCACAGGGCACGGACGAGGCCGTTCTTGGGCTCGTTGGAGAGCTCTCGCTGGCGCGGGTCGAGTGGTGGTGGCGGCCAGACCTATGGTGGCCGGAGCCGATGACGGCGAGCTCCAAGGCGGCAGCCGGAGTTCGGGCGAGATGCGAGTGAGAGCTAGGGGGCACGGGAAGGCGAGCTGGGGCATGCTACGGGCTCGTGGGGAGGCACTGAGCGCAGTGGTGTGCTCGAGTGCGAGCTCCAGCAGCCGTAGCCATGGCGGCGAGATGGCCGGCGGCGAAGAGCTCTCGGGCTCGTTAGGAACGGTGGCTAGAGAGGGAGGTAGAGTACGGGGAGAGGGGGAAACGATGGCGGAGCTCACAGCGGGGTCGTAGAGGTGGTCGGCGAGCTCGAGGGAGGCCGGACGGCGTCGAATCATCGGCGGTTTTCATCGGATCCCGCGGAAGAAGACGAGGGCGAGGACGACGGCACGAGGCTCCCAGCGTCACGTGGCTTGGCGATGAGGAAGAGGACGTCGCGGAGGATCCGTTGGACGGTACAGAGAGGGTAGGGTGGACGGTGGCCACAGTGATCGTCGTCGGCGGCGACGGCTGCGTTCGGTCGCGCTCGAGGAAGGGACTGGAGGGCGAGGGAGAGAGCAGAGAGTGAGGGAGAGGAGCAAGGGGGCTGTGTGGCGTCGCGGAAGGCGTCCAGGGCGACGAGGGGGCAGCCAGGCAGGCAGGGAGGAGC